CTGGAAAGGAATTAGTGTTACTGTTAGTGGCCACTATAAGGCCCTTAGTGACTATAAAAAAACATATGCTCTTCCTGGCTATTTGGGAATGGGTCAGTTTGCAAACAAAAATGGAGAAACTAGCATTTTGTTGAAAATCATGTGATATCACGAACATTTATACATTACTTGTGAAAATAAGTCATGGTTCAATTTTATTTGGGGAGGTGGCGCCCCCAAGACCCCCCCCCCCCACCAGTACGCCAGTGGGGGGGGGGGATACCATCGATCGCCTTTACAAAGTTTGAAAGCCGAGTTTCTTTTCTGGTTAACTGAGATAGATGATTGAACAGCCGAGATGCGAAATAAAGAGTACTGCTTCTAAGAAAAATTTGTGTTCGATTTAACTATGCATTATTAAATATGACATTATTCCATTCTATCAGTATCAGGGTGATAATTAATTATTCAAAACTGTCAGAAATTTATCGACAACTTAGATTTTTCATTTTCAGATGTCCATAATGTAAGATTTGAGACTTGTCATCTTTGGCATTAAAGAGCAATGTAAAACATCAAGCACCAGCCGCCGTTTTTACAATGTAAAGTGATATGACTATACATAATTTCAAAAGCTTTACCAGAATATTGATTTCTATTTGAAAATTAATCGGCTAACGTAATAATGACTGTAGCCTGTCTAAAAATCTTATATAAGATAGTTGATAATCGAGCCACTGATGACTATACATGATAAAATAATCAGTGTATAACCCAGGAAAATATTACCCTACTATTACTCTACAAAGTACAAGCTATAATGATGAAAGTTCTCTAGATTTGTTCAAAAGTAAAAAGAAATACAAACACTATTCGGTCCTTTACACAAAGCCCATTTTTCTCGACACGATCTGAGATTTAGAGTGACATTACTGTAAAGTTTAATCACGGCTTATATCGAAGCTCATACATCTCATTATAATATTCTGTCCCGTCTGCAACTGCTCTCTGTACGTCTTTAGTCGCAGAGGAAAGCGGTGGCTTCTCCTTCTTACTGAAATGAAAGCAAGAGCTATTGATAGCCGTTTGATGGAAATACCCAAGACTATTTGCCAGCATCTTGGGTACCCCTCCAGGATTCTTCCAAGTCTTGATGATATCGGTAGATGCATCCCACTTTAAAAGGCCATCGTGGAACTCCAGCCCTCCAACCTGGCAAATCTTCTGCAGAAATGGCTTCGGGTTGGCCATGAAGTCCTCGCAGTCTACAATCAAGGGGTCTGGGTCCAGGTTCTCTCGCACGTGCTTCCACGCCGCATGTAAGTTGTAGTAGTGGCCTCCCGATGAGTAGTAATATGGATCATCTACTCGGAGATTGAATTCCTCTTCTGGTTTGCCAGTGTTGTACCCGGGCATGGTGAGGGAGGTCTGCAGGGAGGCTCTCCTGTAAGACGACATGGCAAGCTGAGGGTCGCGGATAATGAAGACATACTTGAAGCCGCTATCACGTGAAGGGAGGTACCGCTTTCGAGGACCACAGAATGAGCTGCCCATGTCCTTCACGACGACCTGGGGACTATCAAGATTGTCAATGGATCGTTTGACTTCCGAAAACCTGCCGACAAAGATTATTTGAAAGTTAGTAATATCAGTTAATTGTATTGTACCATTCGATGTTATCCGCTCTAAATCATTTATTTCTAAATCAAGAAGACTGAAAAGAATGATAAACCTATATATTACTTGCTGATTTCTCGAAAAATCACAGGCTTAAGAATAAAAATCACGACGCACTTCAAATTTGTATAAAACTTAAATATTAGGTATTAATTCAAGATTGTTGGGATAGATGGTTTTCTTCTTCCGTTACTGGTTACTATAATTCGATTGGATCAAACACTGTACGAGTTTCTTAATTGTCAGGTTTTGATTACTTTGACAATGGAAGCCATAATTTCTTCTTCTCTTCTCTAAATGTTAAATCATTTTTATCGGGGGTTGGTTGGTTGTGTGTTGGGAGAAGAAGTTAGCGAACATTTGGCAAAATGAATGGAGAGGATCCATGCAATGAGAACTTGTATCGTTCATCTGTCCATAGTGCAAACTCTCTCTCTCTCTCTCTCTCTCTCTCTCTGTATATATATATGTCTTTCTCTCTCTTTCTTTTCTTGGATGCTCTTTCTGCAGCATTGGTTTAAAAAAATGTGGATCGTACTGAATGCACCAGCAAAATGTATATTCAAGTTCTGAAAATGCACATAGGCGGATGAGGAATGGAGCTAGGGGGCTTCGACCCCCCCCCCCCCCTCCAGAAAATTCAGAAATGACCAATGTTCTGAAGCCCGCCACCTCGTGTTCGGGCATTGACGTGGTCTGCTTCATTAATGTTTTCTTTATCATGTTATTTCATTGCCAGCAGGAAGATGTAAGAGAATCTTCATAAAAGTTGGCCACTTTTTGTAATAATTTCAAAGTGTACAGGTTTTTTCTTTTTATTATAGATTGAATTATTAAAGAATAAACAAAAATCATGGCCATGCAAAAATGTACCTTTGACATCGGACCACAGAATGTTAACACCCCCCCCCCCCCCCCCGCGCCCCCCCCCCCCCCCCCCCAGAAAACAGATTTTTCGGTTGGTCTACTTACGCGAAATTCTTTCCTTCTACCAGAGGTAATTTGTTCATATTATGAATAAGCTGAGCAGCTTTGTCGAACTCTGCACGGTGTTTTTCATTCCAATCTGTCGGCAGGTCCTTTCCAGTGTGTGCCTTATACTCGTGGATGGCGATCTTGGCGATGATGTACGGCTCGAACCAAGCCTCGAGCCCGTCGATGAAGCTAAAACATTTCAGGAGTGACGTCGAACCAGACCTGGGAGTGCAGATGAAGAATAGTCGAGATCGTTTGACACCCGCCATCGGTACCGCCGTTGTATCCGACATTGCGAACTCGACAATGTCCAGTCGTTTACGGTGCGATGAGAAAGATAACAAAGACTTGATATAACCTGCCGTCGTCCAGGGAGCTAGCTATATCCACATCGATTCATGTGACAGGATAGTATTAAATGGTGAGCGAGTTGGTGTATACGTAGTATATATCAGCAAGAATGAATCAATCGTACGCTCTACGTATAAATATCACTAAATTGTGAAATTATAGTTGTTTGAACGTACTTCCAACGTTTTGTTTGCCTATAGGATACAAACTATTATGTTCATGTATTGCAACACTTTTCATCACTGTACTTTACTATCATTATATGTGTTTGGGTAGCGAACCGTGCCAAGAAATTTGAACTTCGTCCTCTTTTTTAAATAAGAGAGGGAGAGGTAGGGAGGGGAGAGAGAGAGAGGGAGAGGGAGGGAAAGAAAGAGAGGGGAGGGGAGAGAGAGAGAGACTGGGGGAGGGAGGGAGGGATATCTAGAGGGAGAGGAAAGGGATTTTTGTTAAAGGGATTGAAGTATATTTAAAGAGGGAATGTTTAATTAGGGGATAAACATATTTGTATCCATGCAGAGCAGTTAGAGGGGACATTCTAATTGTAAGATATATATTATATTGAGCTTGCAGACTATAGCCTCATTTCGTTATGGTTTAAATAATGTTGATTTACTTGATGCCAGGCTATCAGTTCATGCATGTATGCCTAGCCAACATGACTTCCTGAAGATCTTTTTTTTTGTAGTATTGTTTTATTGTATTCATTCAGTACAAAATACAGCTTCATTGATTTACATATATCAAAATATAAAGAAAATTGTACATCTCTCAAAAAATACTTAAGATAGTTTAATACACAGTACATAATGTTTACATTTAATTATACTGAACGAATATTATAAATCAAAGAGTTACCTACAGACAGACAGACACACCACACACGCTCACATACTCAGATACACATACAAACTGACATATCCCCCTCCCCCTTCATTCCAAAGGTCAACGAATCCCCCCTTCCCTTCCCGAGCATTCACATCTACATATTTGTTGGAAATCCTGTCTCTTCCTTTTCCTTAAGACCAAATTATATATTTTAAAAAAAATTCTGAGTCTGAGAAAGAAGTTTTTGCCTCGCCGTCCTTAACTGTGGAAGTTGTCCCATTTTCTGAAGTGAAGTGTTAAAGTGCCTCTCTCCCCCGCTAATTCCTTTTCTTCTTGCCTATTTTCTATAATTCTTTTTTTTTTTATTTCTTGAGGAATTGGGGGTCTATATCTAGTTGAACTATACTTAAAAATCATATGTTTTGTTAAAAGAATAATGTGATTTAACAGTTGTTCTTCTCCCGCTTTTTATCCCGATATGGATTTCTTGCCAATGTAGGTTTTTTAACGCTGATAAAGCAAAAAAGGTCACCGCAGTCCTTCCAAATATTTGCTACCTTTTCACAGGTAAAAAACAGATGCTCATAGGTTTCTTCGTGTTTATTGCAAAAGGAGCAAAGATTGCTCACTGCATGTTTGAAAGTGTATAGATGCTTATTTGTATAAATTAAATTATATATGATATGATCAAAAGTAAGAGATCAAAAATCTGATCGGAGTTTTCATCTGGCTTCATACTCACTTTATCTCTTGTAAATACTATAAAAAAAAAAAAAAATAATAATAACAAACAAGAGAGGGAGACAGAGAGAGCTAGGGGACAGACCATAGAAACATAAGAGATATTTGCATATTCCACTATCGTAGAGAAGCTGGTGTTCAAAGGCCAAGGACTTGTGTTTATCTAACAAACTTTTCACGTAAAAGAGTCGTTCATATATTACAGTATCTCTATCAAATCGAACATGGCTGAAAAGGGTGTTATTTCTGCACGTTCCCGCGTATTTCTAGCTTGTGTGCCGCGCTCGGTTTCCACATCGCTTACGAAGTGTCTCAGCGCACTCGACGATGACCATGTGGTTTGGTTTGAACCTTACATATCGTGCAATTTTGCACTCATCGAGTACGAACTACGGATGGGGAAGAAGCTCCCACTCGACTACGAGGGCAACATGGAAGAATACCTGAAAGCTGCTACCTTCATTGAACACCAAGGAGTTGATATTGATGTCAATGATTTGTCTAATCTCCCCAAACCGTCGAGTGAACCAAGACTGATGTCGTAAGTAATGTTTGACCATTTAGGTAGAGGGGTGTTCAGGGGGGTTACATTGGCCAAGGGTAGCCTGCATGGGAGTGGTTCTTTCACTAAGGGCCCGGGTTACTGAGTGTAAAAATGCATGCCCACAAATCCCAAAGACCTCGGGTTCTTTTTCCTCCAACTTCATTGACAAGCGATGGAAAAATGAATTTTTTTTTTTCTTCATTTTTCATCGCACAATTTGGGGTGTCCTAAATATGACATAAAAGGAATTTCCAGCACCCTGCCCCTCCATATATCCTCTATAGCACCACATCACCCCGCTCTGGCCATTGTCCATGTTTAAATGATTTTTCAAGATCTATATTTCTAGATAGTTGGACAGTGTTGGTTTGCGGATTGATATTTATGGCGGTATTTTTAGATATACGTTCAACTACATGTTTTTTAAAGATATATAGACCGGTAGTGGTAAAATTGCGGTTCAATGGTTTTGGGTGCAAAATATCCATTCAATATTGTTCAAATATTGCCTTCAGAGGTCAAAATGGCAATACTTAACCTAAATTCGCAAAAAAAACAGAAATATATGCCCAAATGTTCAATGGTGAAGAGCATTAGCGATCTATTCAGGCCGGATATATATGATAATGTACCAAATATATCAATTAGTAGGCGGTTTCCCGCCAAAATTTGTATCATCACGTATTAGTCAAAACATATTCTTTCACATGATTGTTAATAAGAGCTTCCATTTCATTTTTGAGAGGGGGCGTTTCACAAACTGGAATATACCTTTAATGTGAAAAAAGAAATCCGAATGAATTGCGTGAATTCCTATTTAGCGACAAATCTAAAACGTAGAGATTATGTTAGGCTGATCGGACTTCTCGGGTTACTTGTCGCGGAGTTGTGGAGGGGTATGTGAACAGGTGAAATTGAAATGGGCAATTATGCATTTACCATATCATATGGTTGTGTTTTTAGGGGGTGGGGTATACAGTTTCGCACCCTTGGTGTCACGTGAACTCACCCTTATTAAACTGTTGCCCATAAAGTTGGAATAATGTTTCGTTGCCTCTTTTCATGTAATGATTGTGACAATATGATTTATTTTGGACAAAGAACTTTTTTATCTTCCCAGAGCTTTAGTGATCAATCTCCATGACTCGTCAGAATGATCAATAAAGTTCAGAGAAGATATAAAACTATGTCAAGAATATAACATAATTTTTATTGTCTCAATCTTTTAATGACAAGAGGTAAAGCAAATGTTTTCTAACTGTATGGGCAAAAGTGTATAAATCAATTAAGACACAGACACAAATATTTCTGAGTTGTCTTATGATATAAAGTGAAATTCAAATGTTTATTATGGGTTTTTAATCTTTATATGAAGTAACAAGGTAGAACAAATCGTTCACTTTGGCATTAAATGACAATCAAAGCACACCATGACCCTAAGGCTTAAGATAAAATAATAATTATTGTCCTAATTATGCTAAGACATCCCTTCCGGAAAATAACAAAAACATCCCGCTTTTAAAAAGAGGAAGTAAAACAATGCACTCTAGTCTAGTAGAGTGCATTTATGTCTCACTTCTCTGATTTATGACTTTCTATTTTGACAATCCATGCTAGAACCAAAGAGATACCAGCACGGAGATGTAGAAAGTAGAAAATGGTGAGAATCAATCTCTCGGGGGGGGGGGGGGGGTAAATAGGGCCCGAGTATATAGCAAGAGGAAATATACAGTTATTCATTAAGTTCACTAAAATCATGAATATCAAATGTGAACAAATCTGCGAACATTGTATTTTTCAAAATATGTGAAGTAAATGAATGTAAATACATTATTGATATCAATTTTACATAAATATTAATATTTCCATTGTTACCATAATTATTATTGTAACAATTTTCACATTATTATTATTAATATTCTTATTTTTCTTTTCTTTTTATTATTATTTTGATTATTATGATTGTGATTACTATTATCATTATTATAATCATTATTATTAGATAGGGTCCATGAGAAAGATACGGAAGAGAGGGTAAAAAGTGAGACAGAAAACGAGGGAGATAGATCAAGATCAAGAGAGACAGAGAGAGGGGGATGGAGAGACGTACATAGAGACATATAGAAAGAGACAGAGAGAGGCAGAGAGAGCGGGGGAGGGGGAGGGGGGGGGGGGGGGGTAACGGAGAGAGGTCAGTGATCGGGCATGATCCGAATCTCTAAGAACTGTCGTGCTCATGGAAAACCAGTTACCAGGAAATTGATATATTGACAACAATGATTTGTCGAAACTTCCAGGGTCGTCAATTCAGTGACCCAAGACAACTGTCGTAAGCAGGGCTCAAATTAAATTTTTGTCCACGGGGGCTCTTCCAACAAAAAAGAGCCCCCGTGAGCCTTCTCACAGGGGCTCTTTAGTGCTGACGGGGGCTCTTATTTTAATACAAATTTCCATTGGATTGGTACCCATGAAACTCCTAAATTCCTTGGTATTTTATCATCATTATTATAGTCGGCATTTTCCCATAGCTGTATACTTTTATCCCCATGATCAGTGGCGGATCCAGGGGGGGGGGGGGGGGGCGGGGGACCGCCCCCCTCCCCCCCCCCCCCCCCTGGGAAAAAGAATGGGGACAAAAGGGGGAAAGATTTTCTTGTTTTTGTTGAAAAAAAGATGTTCCTTTCCTACTTGTATCATAGAGAAACAACAGTTTAAGTTAAGTCTAACGTTAACGTTAATTTGTTATTAAAATGTAGAGTACAGCCCTTGGCCTTAGGCCTAATTTAAGTCGTAACTGTTAGTGTTTAAAAATCTAAAGTAAAATTAGACGGTTTCATGGTTAGACCAAGTAATTGAGAAAAAAAATTACCCGTCACTGAGACCAGGTCAATCAATCTGCTAGATCTATTATAAGGGTTTAACGTAAGTAGATACAAGGTAGATGCGGGCGCGGATCCAGCGGGGATGAGCGGGCCTTACCCCCCCCCCCCCCTTCCGCAAAAGGGGGAAGAAGGAGATCGGGGGGGGGGCGAAAGGGCCTTACCTCCCAGGCTAATGCCTCCTCACAACAACAAATAATAAGAGAGAAGGAAGGAAGGAAATGGAAAGAAAAAAGGAAAAGAGGAGATAAAGGGAAGGAAAATTGAGGAAGAAGTAAATAAAAGAAGGGGGATATCAGTTGCAATTTTCCTGCCAACAAGTTGCGGATGGGGGTGGGGCAAAAGGTCTTTGCCTCCCCCGCCCCCGCTAAAAAAAAAGAGAGAGAAGGAAGGAAAAGGAAAAAAGGAGAGCTAAAAGGGACCAAAAAAGAGGAAGAAGAAAAAAAAGGGTGAAAAGAATTTCGATGCGGTGTTCGAGTAGAATTCTGTGAGATGATGATATGCTTTCTCGTAGCTTGATGTGACGAAGTGTCTCTATCCAGATATCTGTTGTTAGTATTATAGAATAAAGAAGCCTGAAATGACCTTCTGTTCGTAACCGACAAGTCACCGCATTAAAATTAAATTGCAAATAGTGTTCAACAACACGATGGTGGATGAAACTTTCTAATATTCGAAGATATATGACCTTCAGACCATATTGTTTCATTATTTTGTATTCAATCAATCAACGTCAAAGAATTGATTTATCATCGCTATTCAATTTATTATTTCACCTTTTAATGTACTTTCATTCGTATGCATCACGAAAGAACACTGAATTGGATTCGTCAATGTTTGTTTTGATTAATTTCCTCCCCTTTCCTTCTCCCTGTTTAATACTGATAAAATTTTCTATTTTTCTTAATCAAGGCAATATATTATTTTCATATTTTCTTTATGCAAGACAGGGAGAGAGAGAGAGAGAGAGAGAGAGAGAGGATATGTTAAGTGAGAATTATCGAGTTAAACTATGAATTGCATCCTTTTCAATATTATTCAATTCGCTGAAAATATTCAGAATATGAATATGATAAATCCACACAATACACCAACGCTGTTCAACACATCCAACGCTCCAACCATGGCCCATATGCCAATGCACCATATTTATCAAATATGAAAAGATTTTTAAATGAAATTTGAAGAAAAATCTAATTTACAATGCACTGACAGGGATTCTGTTGAAATCATGAATTCTCTGTGACTGGCTTAGCACTAGTTTCTGAGGGACCAGTCACTGAAGAGGTGATGAAGGGAAGTAAAATTGAGGAAGAAGTTAAGAAAAGAAGGGGGATATCAGTTGCAATTTTCCCGCCAACCAGTTGCGGATCGGGATGGGGTGGGGCAAAAGGTCTTTCCCTCCCCCCGCCCCCGCTAAAAAAAAGAGAGAAGGAAGGAAAAGGAAAAAAGGAGAGCTAAAAGAGACCAAAAAAGGGGAAGAAGACAAAAAAAAAGTTGAAAAGAAGGGGAGATAGATCAGTTGTGATTAATCCCGCCAGCAACGTGTGGAGAAGGGTGGGGGCCGCCCCCCCCCCCCCCGGGAAAAAAAAGGGGAAAGATTTTCTTGTTTTTGTTGAAAAAAAGGTGTTCCTTTCCTACTTGTATCATAGAGAAACAACAGTTTAAGTTAAGTCTAACGTTAACGTTAATTTGTTATTAAAATGTAGAGTACAGCCCTTGGCCTTAGGCCTAATTTAGGTCGTAACTGTTACTGTCTGAAAATCTAAAGTAAAATAAGACGGTTTTCATGGTTAGACCAAGTAATTGAGAAAAAAAAAATTACCCGTCACTGAGACCAGGTCAATCAATCTTCTAGATCCATTATAAGGGTTTAACATTAGTAGATACAAGGTAGATGCGGGCGCGGATCCAGCAGGGGTGAGCGGGCCTTACCCCCCCCCCCCTTCCGCAAAAGGGGGAAGAAGGAGATCGGGGGCGAAAGGGCCTTGCCTTCCAGGCTAATGCCTCCCCACAATAAAAAATAATAAGAGAGAAGGAAGGAAGGAAATGGAAAGAAAAAAGGAAAAGAGGAGATAAAGGGAAGGAAAATTGAGGAAGAAGTAAATAAAAGAAGGGGGATATCAGTTGCAATTTTCCTGCCAACAAGTTGCGGATGGGGGTGGGGCAAAAGGTCTTTGCTTCCCCCGCCCCCGCTAAAAAAAAGAGAGAGAAAAGGAAGGAAAAGGAAAAAAGGAGAGCTAAAAGGGACCAAAAAAGAGGAAGAAGAAAAAAAAGGGTGAAAAGAATTTCGATGCGGTGTTCGAGTAGAATTCTGTGAGATGATGATATACTTTCTCGTAGCTTGATGTGACGAAGTGTCTCTATCCAGATATCTGTTGATAGCATTATAGAATAAAGAAGCTTGAAATGACCTTCTGCTCGTAACCGACAAGTCACCGCATTAAAATTAAATTGAATATAGTGTTCAACAACACGATGGTCGATGAAACTTTCTAATATTCGAAGATATATGACCTTCAGACCATATTGTTTCATCATTTTTTATTCAATCAATCAACGTCAAAGAATTGATTTATCATCGCTATTCAATTTATTATTTCACCTTTTAATGTACTTTCATTCGTATGCATCACGAAAGAACACTGAATTGGATTCGTCAATGTTTGTTTTGATTAATTTCCTCCCCTTTCCTTCTCCCTGTTTAATACTGATAAAATTTTCTATTTTTCTTAATCAAGGCAATATATTATTTTCATATTTTCTTTATGCAAGACAGGGAGAGAGAGAGAGAGAGAGAGAGAGAGGATATGTTAAGTGAGAATTATCGAGTTAAACTATGAATTGCATCCTTTTCAATATTATTCAATTCGCTGAAAATATTCAGAATATGAATATGATAAATCCACACAATACACCAACGCTGTTCAACACATCCAACGCTCCAACCATGGCCCATATGCCAATGCACCATATTTATCAAATATGAAAAGATTTTTAAATGAAATTTGAAGAAAAATCTAATTTACAATGCACTGACAGGGATTCTGTTGAAATCATGAATTCTCTGTGACTGGCTTAGCACTAGTTTCTGAGGGACCAGTCACTGAAGAGGTGATGAAGGGAAGTAAAATTGAGGAAGAAGTTAAGAAAAGAAGGGGGATATCAGTTGCAATTTTCCCGCCAACCAGTTGCGGATCGGGATGGGGTGGGGCAAAAGGTCTTTCCCTCCCCCCGCCCCCGCTAAAAAAAAGAGAGAAGGAAGGAAAAGGAAAAAAGGAGAGCTAAAAGAGACCAAAAAAGGGGAAGAAGACAAAAAAAAAGTTGAAAAGAAGGGGAGATAGATCAGTTGTGATTAATCCCGCCAGCAACGTGTGGAGAAGGGTGGGGGCCGAAAGGACCTTGTCTCCCACCCCCCCCCTCCCCCTAGCAAACCTATAAGAGAGAGAAGGAAGGGAAGGGAAAGGGAAAGAGGAGAGAAAGGGAAAGAAAAAAAAGGGAAAGAAAAAAGGTAGGGGAGATCAGTTGCCAACAAAGTGTAAATCAGGGGGGGGGGGGCACTGGCGTACTGATTGGGGAGGGGGCTCGGGGGAAATAAAATTCAAACGTTGTTTATTTCTAATTCCATAACGGTGGTTTACACATAATGCTGAAATGACATAATTTTCCGAGATTTTTAGTAAATTATACTTTTTTATGCGTTTGTTGTAAAATGACAAATTCCTAAATTTACAGCCAGGCAAGAAATATGCTTATTGAGATGCCTAGGGGCCTACACGTCAGGGCCCGCGGAACGGCGGGGATCGGAAGCCTCGAGGTTCCCCCTCCACTATTTTTGAAATAGTATATAAAGAGAAGTGGAAAGAAAAAATAGTTAACTGCCAGTGTCACAACAAAATAAGATATTTTCCGTAATTAAACGCCTAAAACCCCTGAGCTTCCGGGACTCCGGCCCTGGACCCAACCGAGGGCCCTAAGGCGGACCCCTTGATACTCATCTGACCGTAATTTAGTGCCTAAAATCCTTGAACCGAGTCGAGAACGGTACAGCGAATCGTCTTCTTTCTTTAATAATTTTAATGAAACGTCGCGCTTTGCGCGGGAGGGGGGGGGGGGAACCGAATTCACACAAGGATTAAGAGTCGAGAATGGTACAACGAATCGTCTCTAATGATTTAATGAAACGTCAAAGCTTCCTCGCTTCGCATGGACGGGGGGGGGGGGGGGTAAAATGAATTCAGACGAGCATTATTTTGGAGAACGGTACAACGAAACGTCTTATTTCTCTAATAAGTTAATGGCACGTCAAAGCTTCCGCATACCGCGCTCGAGGGGGAAACTGAATTCAGACAAGGTTTACGAATCGATAATGGTAATACGAATCGTCTTCTTTCTCTAACACTTTAATGAAACGTCAGAGCTTCCGCGCTTCGTGGTAGAGGGGGGTAAACTGAATTCAGACGAGGATTATTTTCGAGAACGGGCAACGAATCGCCTTCTTTCACTAATGATTTAATGAAACGTCAAAGCTTCGGCGCTTTGCGGAGGAGGGAGTGGGAAAATCGCCCCTCCCTGCATCCCCCCATTACGTCAATGCTGGTCACCATTACGTACCAATATTTGGCTCGCATAATTTCAAATTTGCCCCCCCCCCCCCTAAGAAATGCTGGATCCGCGCCTGCCCGTGATGACATTCTCTCCATTTCTTCCCGTTCTGCACATAATGTCCTCCTCATTATTCGGAACAACCTGATTTACATGCTTTACCATAATATCCTTCCAAAACACAGGGGCGGATCTAGATTTTTGCTAAGGGTGGGGGGGGGGGGGGGTAACCCAAATACGATGTGGAGCATCGTCCACGAGCCGCATAGGGGCGAGGCGATTTTGGTTGTTGCTATTTTGAACCCTCGTAAGTGATGTTTTCCTGGCATCTACTGACATCTACTGTACATGATAGCGTTTTTTTATACACATCACATATTCACTAGGCAACCCAAGGGGGATCGGGGGTTAAACCCCCTAAACCGCCTAGATCCGCCCCTGCAACATCTTTGGTCTTCTTCTTCTTCTCTACATTGATTTATTGGTCGAGTTACATTATTTGCTGGTCTTTTAGAACAACCAGGTTTCAGAGGATTCACACTTTTCACAACGAAAAACTTCTCCATGATTCAGTCCTTGCGCGATCGTCTCCAGCTCCAGCAGATACTCGGGCGTCAGCGTGCACACCGGTACTACCGGCGCAGTATAGCCACTGCTGACGGCCGCCAGCTCCAGCAGATACTGGGCGTCAGCGTGCACACCGGTACTACCGGCGCAGTATAGCCACTGCTGACGAATATTAGCTGCACTGCGAGCTTCCGTTGTTTGTATCGGTAATACTCATAGAGAAAGGAGAGAAAGCGCCATCTAAGTTCCATTTCATTAGTTTAAGGTTTGTGTTAAAGTTATATAACAAAAGATAATCTTTATTTTATAATTCCACGGGGGCGATTTTTAATTTTGCAATCTCCCGCGTGGACAACATGACGGGGGCGATTATGGAGCTCACGGGGGCGAATCGCCCATCGCCCCCGTGTATTTTGAGCGCTGGTTACTCAACTCGTAAGTCACATGTCATGTATGTCTTTTCATCAGCGTATGCCTCGTATACATTTATCGAAAGATTTCTCTATTTTTGTTTGTCCTAACGGTCATGTCTATCTAATCTATTCCTTCCAACAACAGATATCCCGAGATCAAGAAATGTCTCGACACTGCATCCAGCCGTCTCGTCATCGTCAAAGACTTCGGCGTCGCTGTCGATGGTTTCTACCAATACCTCCCCTCAGTCGAATCCGGCTACAAGTACATCTTCTTAATCCGCGATCCCCTTCTCGTCGCGATGTCGTATCGTCGATCGGTGGTTGCTTTCAACAAGAAGCACCATGGCCTCGTGGACGACAGCACTTTCGATCTATCAGCGGAAAAGTTCTACCCTGGAGGGGGCGAGGCGTTTCGAAGACTGCACGAGTTTTGGCTCTACGTACGCGCGAACATCGACCCTAATCCACTCATCATAGAAACAGATGATCTCATTGCGCATCCCGAGGCGTGCGTCAGGAAAATCTGTGAAGCGAGCGGATTGGAATACCGCGACGCGCTTCTCAAATGGGAACCTGCAACATCAAGCAAGGATTGGATGAAGTTTGCCAATACATCGATGGGTGGACTGGTAAGGAGTGGGTTTCTATCTGACTTCCATACAGGGGCGATGAAGAGTACGGGATTTACACCATCTGCATCAAGAAGGAAGCCTGATGAGTCGGAGATGACACCTGATGTACTGGGAATCGTAGAGAAGGGAATGAAGTACTACAAAGAAATGTATGAACATAGATTTATACCAGATGTGTGAACGGGCGTTTAATTGTAATGCTTTACATGTATTTTATCTGTATTGATATTCATCAGATACCCATCCTATATTATTGTCCTCTCCCAGACACTAATTGGGTCTCTGAATATCTCTCACTCTCAGTCTCTGCCTGTCTGTCTCTCTGTTTTAGTTATACTTTTACTTCTTCTTCATTTCTCTTTTGCCTTTCTCACTGCTTAATTGCATCTCCCCGTGGCTCTTCTCTCTATTTTTGTGTTGCTCTCTCTCTCTCTCTGTCTACTTCCATCTCCTCTCTTTTCCTTCTTCCCACCCTCTCCTCCGATCTTTCCACCCTTTCTCCTACCCTCCCTCCATGCCCGACTCTCTCTCTCTCTCTCTCTCTCTCCATCTCTTATTAAACACACCTATTTTCCTTTCTTCATCCTTCACTCACTTGATATCTCTAGCTATTTCTCTGTCGAGTTTCAATGTTGTAAATAAGACCTTCCAAATTTGACGCAAAATTATAATTGTCGAAGGGACCTAAAGAGTATGACTAAATTCAAAGAAATGTCAATCAAACTGAAGCTTTCATTTTTTTGTCCCTCATTGGATGTTAGACTCAAATACCTTGGCAAGTAGCCAATCAGAATCAAGGTTTGTACAATGGTATATCCTGACTTAGTTACTTGCAAATCACAATGAGTTTTAGAGAGCTTTCAATAAAAACGATCAAACAAATGATTTAAAATAGAGCACATTTATTTTAATCCGATAAAATTTATCCTGGTATAATGCTCAACATTTCCTTTGAAGTTCAAAATCTGTACGTGTATTGCAACAATTCCTATTTGCCACTCATTATAAGAAACCTTTCTTTCACAGTTAAATTTGTTTTGTTTTACTCAATCACTATGTTACAAATAAGTTAGTGCATACAGGTGAACATGCCTGTTGATTGTAGTCTTGAATGAAAATAGAAAAAGATTGTAAAAAGAAATAAAAACATAATCATGTTCCTGAACGCTGCAATACCAGTACAAATGAAAAAACTAAAATAATTAATCAAGGACAATTTGTTGCATATTGAACACGTTAAAGACCCTGTCGGAAGTAAAAAAAATAAAATAGATGAATTATATATCAAAGCCATAGATTACAATGATACCAATTATATGCTACTTTAGTGTTCATTCAGCTTTTCACTGATATAAAGTTGTATTTTCATCAGATAGGGTCTTTAAGTACATACATGAAAAAGATGTATTGTTAGGTGCAGTAAGAGAGAGACTGGTTTGAATTAAAATTGTATACAGTATTACAATAAAACTGAATGCATATTATCAAATATTAATCTGAATACATGCTACCAACATTTAGATGTTCTTCCAGACGTTAACAAATGCATGTTTAATAAATGAATTGGTATTTTATCTATAAACTACCAAATATTTATAAACTTTCAAAACGAATAACTCGCAACACAGATAAGAAGATGTTGCGATTGCCAAAATGTAAAACAGAATTTTATAGGAAGTCATTCATTTATTCAGGGAGTGAAATTTGGAATGAGCTTCCACTTAAACTTAAAGAAGCACAGAGCCTAGCAGTCTTTAAGAGAGCTCTACAACAAATTCTCACATGATACGGTGTTCATTCTGCATGGTTGAATTTTATCATTATCTATAATGATTCAGTTTGTTATCATGTTACTTGACTCCATAACCATACAATGCGTACAATTATCATTACTTAACTGTTGTTCTTTTGTGCAATATTATATTCAGTTAATGTATTTCGTGAAATATTGCATGCCACCTCATTAAAAACATTGTTTGAAATGATCTAATTGGCTGACCAGCATGTTGAGAAATGCAACATCTTGGAAAACCTTGTATGTGGCAAGGTAGTTACATGATTAGAGATGGGTGGAGATGGGAGTAAAAAGGGATGTGCATAGAGAGGAATGAATGATGATGGTGGTGGTGTCTAGCTGATATGGGAGTACAATCTCCCACTATAAGTTATAAACACTCCCTATATCCTAGGACATTCCCCGAACTTTCTCCCGACCCATGATAGAAATGCCCCCACCCTTGGAGCCTATAACTTACAAAAGATGAACATGGGCAAAATAATTGCTAGAGCCCATTTTAGAAATTAAGTATACTCAGCTCAGATCAGTCAACTACGCCTGCATGTTACATCCCAGCTGAGGAGTTTATGCAGCAGCCCACCAGAACATGATCCAGAAGTATTCTGTTTACAGGCAATACTGATGTGCCTTCATTGCATCTATCTACTTTAATAAACCTGTTTACTAATACATTTCAGTTTATGCGTGTTTCTCTCCCTACCCCCTAGATTAACAGCCATTGTATGCATCTGCATTGAATAATGGCATCTCTGTGGATGGAATCCACTTTGCATCAGTTGGTGTGATGTCAGGCAATCCTCTGGCAAGCACTGTAGTCGTCAAGGGGAACTTTTGTTTAAAAATTTCATAAAATCAGTAAAACAGGTCTATTGGTACTAATGCACACCAACTATAGTAGAAAGGCATAGCATTATCGTCATCTTCGGACTTAATGCCCACCAAGTTGTATAAACAGTTATCTGACATAGCAACAACTTATGTATGCAAGGTGGAATTCCTTCATAGAACACCACGTCAAAATCGGTTCTGGAATAAATATACATGTACATGTACATTGATTGAAATGGATTTGTAAATTGTTCAAATGAGTTGGGCATCCACTGATTATGTTAACTTACAGACTCCTGGGTAATAATATGATTCTAGAATTGTAAAAGAGGTAACAATCTGCAAAAGGTAAAGCACATTCAATCTCTGTTCATACCTTTGAACAAGTTTACAATGTATATAACATGATTGATTGCTAAGACTTTCACGAAATTAGAAGCAACTTCAGTGGCTTGACACATTACCTACTGAGTTGTGCAAGATGCAATGACCAGCTGTGGTATGATAAGAACATCGTACTAATGAACCAATACAACAGGATACTAATTTCTGAAGAGTGCATTTCTTTAAAGTCTTTGCACACACTATTAGTGCGGTATATTATGTAATTCCGTAGGATTTTTTTGCTGTTTTGGCTTCAAAAGGGTCCCAATTGGCCAAAAATGATGGGGTTCAAATTTTCAGACCACTCCTTCATTTCCTGGGGGTCCATATTGGGCGCCAAAATGGCTTATATAAAGCGCAATAGGGAAATTTGGTGTCTTCAGGAAAATATGAACCCCATCAATTTCTGATAGCTTGGACCCCAATGAATCCAAAAATGCAAACAAAAATCAACTTTGGCACAAAAGTCCTACGGGAGCTATTTCAGTGACATACTGTACCACACTATCTGTTAGACATTCAATCCTTGAATAAATATTCTTTAAAAAAAACCTACACTAATATGACCAAGTTAACCCCTTCATATAATTCCTATTGCATCAAGATACTATGTTACTTGAAAAAGTATGGAAACCGCCAGGCGCATGGACTGGGAAGTGACATTAGCAAAAGGACACTTAAATGCATTGTATGCCCTATTAAGAATCGTCTAGACATGATGCAAGAAAAAAGGTGTTTTTGGATGAGGTAGAGTGTTATATGCTTCATGTTTCTGTATCTCATAACACAGAGCGCGCTGTATACATGTAAGTCCTTTGAAGTATGCAGTCGCCATTCATTAACATGTTAGAAACCTGCAGTGGCTTTTATGTGGCGGTGTACGGCGCCATATCTGAACAAGTCTTTACTACACAACTAAAGTCAATATTGAGAAGTTGAGATGATTTAGTACCCCCCCCCCCTCCCTCCCCCCCCCCCCCCCCCTCCCACTTACTTTATGGATGGATAATGATCTTTCACTGATACGTTGGCAATAAAGCAAGCCTCAAAATGACATGTAACTCATTACATCAGAATACAGATGTGCATCTAGGTACTCAATTAAACTTAGGTATGCCATCTCCATTAACGTTTCCTGATAAGGGTCTGTATGACACACATGACAAACATACAAGTAGTAAAGGTCACCTCAATAGTAATATGATAACGGAGAATGCCGTGTTCAACTAGTATAATGACATTACAAGACAACACACCATATTTCTCAATGATCTAAGAGTTTCTCAATGCTGATCTCAAAGTAGTCATATTTGATAGAGTGCACATAAGTTCTGCATGTACAATCTGCTTTACATCAACATCAACAGATTGGTTTCAGACCTGATGAGCTAGCTACACCTACTCTATACACACCCACAACCTGCCCTGCTTGCATCAAATCCTCTTCACATGACAAGAACAATTTCATTTAAAAAATAAAAAATAAAACATTAAAAAAAAATGTTTACATATGGCAGGTGGAGGTCAAAAATAAGAAACGTGGTCAACAAAACCCCTGTAGAATACTAACTTATCTGTGTGTATGTATACACAAATGTTAAGCAGGCCTATACTTACGGTGTGTCGTATCATTTTGATGCCATGTATTGTTTTGTTTCATTTCAGGTTGTGTTTGTTTGTTTCCTATTGTCAGATAGTTTACAGTGTCACTTGTAAAGAAGGCTATCTCTGGTGAATTGATCAATATACATACAAGAATCAGGGTATCCTTCCAACCTATTAAAACCTGTGTATTAAACTAATACGCGTTCCACTAGGATGTTGGTAAACTTGTACATATGACGGTTTCCTGAGAGGACGCCTAGGTTGTGTGTGAGTGTGAATGACGTCTCGAGGTATAGTCCTACGTAGCCGTTGTTCTCTCGTTATTCCAGTTCAAACTTCTTCCATGACATGGACTCTGCTTTAATGAGCTTGATCTCTACCTTGCTGCCGAACATGTTCACAACACTCGAGCCTGGGTCAATCACCTATACGATACAATCAAGATACACATCATTATATTACAGTTCTCCTACACATCCAAGCACAATTTATTTAGTCTCGATTTGTATTGTTTACATCAATATGTTTGTAAACTTTGTATTTATGTTGTAGGGCCTCGACGGAAAACAGTATTTAACTGCTGCTGATGGAGCCATCCTATTAAAAAAAGACTAATAAATAAATAAAAATAAATAAATAAATTCTATGAAACTTTACATACATGACATTGACGATAAAGATATACTGTACATGTAATCAAATTTTGATTTCACATGAAATAAGGAAATATGGTTTATCAAATACTTTGCAAGTTTGCATCCAAGAAGTTAATACTTTTTGTGGTTTGAAACATAAGCAATCGGATCCTATA